CCCAAACCACAACCCCCAAAAGCAGATAAAAAAGAAATCAAAGTCTAAAATGAAAAGGAAAGGGAAGAAAAGACTTCAATTTAATCCAAGCTGAGAGTTTCCATAGTATACAACTTGCCAGATGGTGCAAACAAACTATTCCGTCTCGTTCATTTTATATGAAGGTATTTGTTGATATGGAGTTTAAGAAAGAAAGACTTTTGAAACTTGTGGTTTTCAACCTATCATCACGTCATTAGGGGTAAAATGGGAGTGGAGTTCAAAGATAAATTGTTTCTAGAAATAGAACAACATCATTCTTTTTGGAACAAACTAAAAAAGAAAATATATCATATAAAATTGAACAAATGGGGTATTTTTTTTTCTCTTTTGGGGAAGGCGGGGGAGTAGTCCTTCCAAATAAATTGCTAGAGTAAAGAAATTCAGCCACCTTTATCTAATGCCATGATGATGATCAAAGCCTTCAATAGGTAGTAATAGATGTGAAATACTAATCCATGAGGAAGAAAGAGATGGATAAGCAACCATGTAAATTATCAAGGACGAGAGACGCAAGTCAATACTCGTGAAATGATAATGGTCTTCAAGGAGAGAAGAAAGAAACAGGTTGATAGAAAGGAAAAATGTCATTGTACAATACTACTTGGTTTCATCTTGTTTGACCAACTTTCTTATTTAGCCTACCTCCTTCCAATATGGAAAATTCTACCACCTTTAAAAAGTCAATTTTAACATGTTAGTATAAATACTACTCTCTCCGTTTCATATTAAATGAGGTAGTTTGACTCGGCACGGAGTTTAAGAAAAAAGAATAAGACTTTTGAAACTTGTGGTCTTAAAAGCTTAAGGGGTAAAAAGTTTGTGGGGCCATGACATTTGTGTGGCTATAAAAGCTTCTCATTAAGGGTAAATGGGTAAAATGAAAGAGCTTAAAGTTGAATTATTTCCAAATTTAGAAATGTATCATTTGTTTTGGAACAGACTAAAAAGGAAAGTACCTCATTTAATATGAAACGGAGGGAGTAGTACTTTGTATTATTTTGATGTTGATGTGCTTCCCGTTTCATATCTTACATTGACTTATCTTTACTAAGTGCAAACATACTATCTGCTCCAGCTTTTCTCAAACTTTTGTGAAGAGTTAACGGAGCCGCGCAATTTAGAATGGTGATAAAACATAGTTTGCAGAAAAGGTTTTATTTTTGTGAGCGGATTGCAATAGGAGATCAAAAATAGTTTTTGGTATACGAAATCAATGTGTCACTGGTACAAATTAATTCCAACTATGACTCTTAAATTCCCATCCCTACTCAAAACCCAGTTTTTCTTTGTCTTCTCACTCAGAGTTGTCATGTGTAATGTGTCAAGGGTAAGAAAGCATCGGATAATGATTCAGCACACGGTTTACCTGATTAAAACAGAGGCCTATATCTCTGCTGTAGAAATCAGCATTTTTTATCATGAACACACCGCAGTCAAACCTGTTCACAATGAAAGTTCACCAGTTTAATCAAATGATAACACACAAAAAGTGAGAAAATCTAAAGTGACTCAAATTTCTAGCATAAAAAGAAAATCTAGCAACAGCCTCAAGATATTAGGGGAAAATTGGATATAAAACATAAGTTCGCAAATCTTAAGAATCATTAGACCAAGGTGTTACACACCCATTCTTTTGCTCTGGAAGGTCCTCGACAAACTCTTGCTTCCATGAACTAACATCAATGTCTTTCCCATTTTTGTCCTTCACCTCATCAACAAAGTACCTAGCCTGCACACAGATATAAACAAACTGTAACGTCACTCAAGCTAGAGCAAAACCTCAAGAAACATGAGATCTGCTCTTTCCTCAATGCCAATTTCTCAGTCACAAATTACCTAGATTCTTCTTTGTTGCATATTATTACGATCAAGAAAGAAGAGAATAGGAAAATTCCAAAAGATATTAATATTAAGAATAAAAAAGGTAGCACGTCTCGATAAGTTTTTCTTTGTACAGATGCTAAACTTACCAGCACTTTCAACACTTGAGTATCCCTTCCTCTGAGCGAATCAAGATATTGGAACTTTTTGTCCTTCTTATTGATAACAGCTAAACACCAATGTATTTCTTTGTGGATAGGGACAAAGATCTATTTAGAAGAATCAAATCAGTGCATAGAATATAGCAAAACAAAGTAAGAAAAGGAAAACAAATGATAGAATATTTTACTTTATCGCATTCGAGTAGGCAGTAATCCAGCTTTCTTTGGGATGTCCATCTTCTCACAGATTGATAGTTATAGCCTCCCCTGCCACCTATCAACTGAAAATGTAAAAGTATTTCCGCGAAAATGAGCAGATTTTCATTCAAAATCTCAACACATAGTTTCCAGTAAGGGGATAATAATCAGTAATTGACATTGCAACCTTGTAATGCGAGCAAAATCAGATCATATAATTTTTTATTAAACCTAATAACACGTTGACCACTTTAGAGAGAGAAACTAAATGGTGTCGATAACAATAGATCATTCATTGTAGAGCATGAACTAAGAGGCAGAATCAGATCAGTATATGCACAAAATATTTCATGAATATAATAGGTCTAGGGAAAAAAATTGGTAATGAGAGAACTACCGACGATGGTAGTTATGGATCAGATAAGGAGTCTGTGATAGAGAATACAAAAACTTCATACTCTACTCTTGTCCTAAGCTTACGCAAACAGAGAGCGATATGTTCAGACAATATGCAGGCTGAGATTGCATATTGGAGCAAGCACTAGTCAGTACATTCATACAGCATCTAAATCAACTGCAGAAACCAGGAAAAGTACTAACAGCATATCCATGGCCAACCATAGGTTATAAAGAGTCTTGATGGGTGGCACAGGAGTCAGTTATAAAGAAAGACAAAAAACCGCCATGTATCTTCGCTACGAGCACACTGTTAGAGGGAGACACATGAATAGTAACTTATATGTATGTATATACACATATATGAACATGAGTATTAAATCCATCTTATAGTCTGATGTTTCCACAATTTCGACAAGAAATCTTCTATTCATATTAATGACTTCAAAAGAAAAAACTTATTTTACAATCTTGTTCTTGGACATCCATAAAGCAGACAACAGAGATAATCAGCAAGTCCACACTATTACTTTAAGATAACTATTATAGACCAAACCCATATATCAACACAGTAGTTGTAGAACTGAAATTTTGAGCTGAAAATCATAGAACTGACCTTCTTGTAAAAGAATGTGTTAAAGAAATGACATTTCAAGAACTTTTGGGGGTCCCTTTTCTCTCTCTCTTTTAACAGTTCAAGATACACATTGATAACCTGCAAAGGACAAGTCATCCATGACATTAAAACTAGATGAAAGTCTTTTTCTAGCGTCGTTAAATCTTACCTCCCCCCCCCC